AATCATTTGTGTGAAAGTTGACAAAACTGGCTTCTGGCATTAGCTTAGCAAATTGTGTTGTGTTACTGTCTTAATTTAAAACACAAACAAAAAAAACTAGTTGTGATGTGCTTAAGGTCATCTATGTTTCAATGTACTTTATTTTTGTTATATTCATTTGGGGGTGTTGTTGACATAGGATAATGTGAATGAGTTGGTTCTCTCCTTCCAGCACATGGATACTAGTAATCAAATTTTGACCATGAGGTCTTTTAGAACAGGGCGTTATCCACTGACGCATCTCAATGGCTCCTCAATGTACTTACTTTTAGAAAATGTGTAACATCAGTATCATATTGAAAAATGTTTTGAGAAAGAGAGCTAGGGAACAGTATGACAAAATACACTATGTGGGCCTTGGTGAAGGATATAGGAAAGTCCTTTTCCTACTTTTTGTTTTTAATTGGATTTAATATATATAATTATACAAAATACAGACAGAAAATTTAAATAAAATGTATTGTTGGTTATATATACTTAAAAATACTTTTAAAAATTTAAGTACTGCTGCTGTTCTATTCACAATAGAAAGAAAGTGGAATCAGCCTATACATCAGGTTCAGAAAGACAAACACCACAGTTCCTTCTCATAAAGGATCCTAACTTCTAATTTTCACATGTGTTATTTATGGGGGAGTAAGTGTGTATAGATGCTAAAAACTAGAAAGAGCCTAAGATGGGGATGGGCTTTAAGGGAGGGTGAGGAAAGTGGTAGAAGAAATATGGTAACTAATTGGAAGGGGAAATACTGGAGTTCGAAGGATTTAAGCAGGGATGGGGCCATTGAGGGAGGGGAAGAATATGAAGATGAACAAAATCAGTGTATGAAAATGCCGTAAGGATGCCTACTGTTTTCTAAGCTAATTAAAAATAACTTTAAATACTTTCAATATTAGAAAAAAAGTAATAAGTAATGATTTAAGCCCCTCCTAGCGAGATACTTTCTAGGGCAGAATGTAATTTTCATGGTACTTACAATGGGAATAAATCATTCTAAACATAACAAATAAAATCTGAGTGGAGATGAAAGGGAAATGGTTCTGGGGAGAGGGGATGTGTGTGTGGGGAGACTGGGGGAGGGAAAGGAGGGAGAAACATCTAATGTAATGTATGAAAGAAGAGTTAAAAAAAGAAAAAATAGCAAGTGTAATAAAAGATATTGCTTTGGAATCAAAGCAGTTGCTTTGGAATTGATCAATAACAATACCAGACAACTTATTCTTACACAGCTATTGTTGGTCAGTAAATTGCCACATATACTTAAAAATACTTTAAAAAATTTAAGTACTGCTGTTCTATTCACAATAGAAAGAAAGTGGAATCAGTCTAGCTTGGATCACTGATGATACTCATAAACAGAGAAGATAACATGAAAAACAAAATAAACAAATAAACAAACAAAAACCACCTCTGTTATATGTGTAGATCCATCTCTACTTCCTCTAAAGCAGTGGTTCTCAAGCTTTTTAATGTTGTGATCCTTTAATACAATTCCTTATATTGTGGTAACCCTCAATAATAAAATTATTTTGTTGCTACTTCATAACTGTAATGTTGCTACTGTTATGAGTTATAATGTAAATATCTGATATGCAGGAATCTGATATGCGACACCCCCCAAAAGTTGATAATTACTGCTCTAGGCAAATGAAGTTTCAGTTCAGGTGAAATATAGTAAGTCAAATCAATGTAAAATTCTAGGAATTATGGGCCTCAAAATATATACTTTCCCTCCCTAATCTCTAAATATGCAGTAAGTACATGACTAGTTAAAATTTTTGTTTGCATATAACAGAAAGAAATTAATTTTACTATTCAGTCAATATGTAACATACATACATAAAACATTTGATATGGAGTATGCATTATAAATTTTGATATTATATTCAGATATTGTTTGCTATGTGTTAGGTACATTCTTAATTTTCACACATTATCTAAATTTTACCATGTTAGACATAAACACATATTTTAAAATACTTGTGAACTACTAATTTTATCTTACAATTCTGAATTCTGTTCAAAAATTGCATTTAGATAGAAATCATTGTGACAGAATTTTGCCTGACCTTAATAAAATTCATTTTAACTCTCTTAGGACTTTCAAAATTAAATGTCAGAGAACGATTTAAAGAACATACATTTCTAATCTCAACTAATACTTCATTATATCAAAAACTAAAATATTCATCACAACTTACAAATTCATGGTAACTTAAACATTTTCTGGGAAATTGACAAACATGATAGATCGTAATTACTGGTTGAAATAACTAAGATAAACATTAAGTGATAATTATAGAGGGGAAAATATCATCATATACAACTCTTGTATTTAAACCAATATGTTTGTACCGAGTTTCCAAAATTAAATTTGGCTCATATCATTATTTTGTCTCTATTATTTTTAAATTTTAATTTTTGCTAGTTAGCATATAAGGTAACAAGCTGTAATTTTCATACATAATTTGCTTTGGTTAATCTTTCCCCTTCTTCTCCCACATCTTCCACACTCATCCACACTGTATCCTTCCTTCCCCAATACTCTACTTTCTAGTTTCATTTCACATGCGTTCCATTTATTATCTCCTGTCCCTAACAACTGTATTCACCCTCCAGGTCTCATTTCTAGTTTCATGGTCTATATCCACACTCCTTTTCACATAAATACATGTACATAAAACCTACAATCTAGGACCCACATATGAGCAAAGACACATGGGATACATCTTTCTGAGTCTGAATTACTCCACTTAATACAGTAATTCCAGCTTCAACCATATTTTTGTGTGTGAAAATATTCATCAACAAGTGAATGGGTCATGAAGAGGTGTGGTATGAGTGGAATTTTATCCAACTTTAATGAAAATGCATGTTATTTTCAATGTCAAGCTAATTTAGGTGGTAGCTTTATCATAATAAAAATGTTACTAAAGCTATTTATGACATTAATATAATGGATTTAAAATTCAAGAAGAACAGATTTAATTGAGAAGCAGTTATCTCTCAGTAATTCTGCTTTGTCAAGCTATTTATACTGTTTGATACTAATTTTCTCTCATGAAAAACAAAAATTCAGCAGAATTTACCACTCGATTTGCCTCAGGAGTATTATCACAGTAAATCACATTTGTAATATTGCTACTATTTTAATTTAAACATTTTTTCTTACAATATATTTTGATAGTGCCTTTTTCCTCCCCATCTTCTCCCAGATCCTCCTCCCCTATCAACTTTATGTTCTTTCTCTTTCTCTCCTTTTCAAAAGGAATACAAAAATGAAATTCAAATAAACACAAAACCAATTAGGCAAAAGCAAAGCCAAAAATAAACAAAAAGCTCATAACAAAACAAAACAAAACCCCAAAACATGGAGTTCCTTTTGTGTTGGCCAACTACTCCTCAGCACTGAGCCTGTCCTGGAGTATGATTGATATACTCAGTGGTACTCCATTATAGAAAACTGAATTTCCCTTTGCTTGCATGAATCAGTTGCAAACAGATTCCTGGTTTGTTATGGGGCCACAAATCTACCTCCCCCTCTCAGTCCTGGGAGGCCGCCTGGTTTGAACCTGTGCAGGTGTTGTGTGCTGCCATAGTCTCTGTGAGTTCATATGTGCGTCAGTGCTGTGTCTGGGAGACACTGTTTCCTTGGAGTCATCCATCCTCTTTGGTTCTTACAATCTTTCCACTTCCTCTTCCCATAGATCTCTGAGCCTTGAGAGAAGTAGGAGTTTGATGAAGACATCCTATTTAGGACTGAATGCTCCAAAGTCTCTCACTCTCTACACATTGTCCAGTTGTGGGTCTCTGTGTTAATTCCCATTTACTGCAAGAAAAAGCTTCTCTTATGAGCAAAGCGCTGGTCTATGGGTATAGCAATGTATCACTAGGAATCATTTTACCGTTACATTTGTTTAGCAGAATAACCACAGCAGATTTTCCCTTAGGCCTGTGACCTATCTGTTCTCAGATAATTAGCCACATTAGCACTGGCCATTATGAGGTCCATCTCATGGAGTGGGCCTTAAATCCAATCCGAAGTGGTTGATAACTCCCATAACATTTGCACCAACTACATCAGCATGTCTTGCAGCAGGTCTCTGTTCTGCTTTTGTGCCATGGTGTACTGTGAATATTTTTATTTAAACTATAAAAACAGGTGATTAGTAAATAAGTAATACCTAACTTAGTCTCTGAGCAAAAAGTCCATAATTATATAATCAAACTTTAATTCTAAGATAATTTTATTTTAAAGGCTCATTTAAGTATGGAATTCACATTAAGAGTTTGCATTATGAATTCCTTGAATCTGTAAATCTCATTTTTTAGAAAATCTACATTAATAAAAAAATCACTTAAACCACATTACATTCTTCTATCTCATTAACAATAGATCACAAGTTTGTGGTGGATATTTACATTTACTCTGCATCATATTTGTTGCCCTTTTCCATCTGGCTTCATTCCCTAAAAGTCTGGTCTTCATATACTGAGTCAAAGACAGTTTCACTCTCTGCTTCAGATTTGGTTTGGGGAAGAATAGAAGCAATCATATACTTAAAATAAAAACAGGATAAGACTGGGATCACTGCTGTTTTTTGGTGCAGAGCTCCTGTAGTTTTTTCATATATCATGTTCTGAGGAATATCTGCATATGTGCAATTAATAAAAACACTTACCACTTCAGGCCAAAGGGTGTCCAATTTCCATCATATGACCTGAGTGGCAATCACATAAACTTTCCCACAGTTTTTAAATGGTCTGCTTAAAATCTTTTCCTCAACTACTTCAACTTGAGAGTTCCATTTCTTCCTTGTGAGGACTCTGATCGATGGCTTGGGATGAGCCCAATATTGAAGTTATTCTGATGAAACAAGAAAAAACATCCACTCCTTTCCCTGAAATGTAGGTGAATACTGTATCCCCACTTTGCTAAGAAATGCTCTGCATGAAGGATCTTATAACGCATCTAACTTCTTTAAGACCTTTCGAGTGATAGTTCTCTTGACTGCTCCTTTCACTTCATTGTTCCTTAGGCTGTAAATGATGGGGTTTAACATAGGTGTAATGACAGTATAAGACAAAGAAACGAGTTTCTTGCTCTCAGGAGACTGGCTAGATTTGGGCCTTAGATAAGTCAAGCTGGCTGTTCCATAAAAGAGGGATACCACAATAAGGTGTGATGAACAAGTAGAAAATGCCTTTTGGCGACCAGTAGCAGATGGCATCCTCAAAATGGTCCCAATAATGCGGGTATAAGAGACCAAAATGAGAGAAAATGGAAACATGATAAAAAGAAGAGTGGATGCAAGTGCTTGCATTTCATATGTAGTTGTATCTTCAGTAACTAATTTTAAGACAGGAGGACCATCACAAAAAAAGTGGTCTACAGAATTGGGCCCACAGAAAGGAAGCGCCATCATCCAAGCTGTCTGAAGCATGGACACAGGAACACCAGACAGCCAAGAACCTATGGCCATATACAAGCACAGGGACCTATTCATTATGACAGAATAACGGAGAGGGTTACAGATGGCCACAAAGCGGTCATAAGCCATCATCGAGAGGAGAAAACATTCAGAGCTGCCAAAGAAGAAGAAGAAGTACATCTGGGTGCCACAGGCCACGAAAGAGATGACTTTCCTTGTTGACACTAGGTCTACCAGCATCTTTGGCACCATGACCAGAGTAAAACACACTTCAAGCAGTGATAGGTTTCGCAGAAAGAAATACATGGGTGTTTGAAGAGCAGGGTCCACACTGGTAACTGTGACAATGAGAAAATTCCCCAGCAAGGTAACTGAATAGATGGCCAGAAACAAAACGAAGAGGGAAACCTGCATGTCAGGGTTGCTTGTGAATCCCAGAAGAACAAATTCAGTGACTCTGGTGTGGTTTTCACAAGTCATATTTTAGACAATTTCTAGTAAAAAAATCAAGATAAGATATATCAAAAGCATTCATCAATATAGATACCATCTTAAATAAAATAAGTAACAATAAATAACAAACAATAAAAATCCATAAAATACATTCTTGTTCTCAGTAGAGTATTGGATTCTAATTTAATTAGTTATATGTTACTGAGGCTGAAACATTTATTCATGACCACTAAAAAATTAATTGACCTTTTAACACAAGAAATAAAATTTTATTTCTCATTCTAGTTGATTCTGGGAAAACTGTATTTTTTTATAAAAATAATTTTGACTCAGTGTTGTTATGTGATGAGTATCTATGAAACCTATGAGTACCTACAATATGAAGCTGGTGTGATGGTCTTAGGATTTCCCCCAAAACAGCAGGACTTCTAACAAGCCTACATGCATATGAACAAATACCTTGGTGTCTGAACTGCACATGCTTGTGTGATTAAAGTCCAAAGTGCTTCTATGTACATCACTATTGCTTTATCAATGAAATCAGCCCAAATCAAATTTTAATAAAATATAAAATAAAATAAATTTTATTACTTTTTTAAAGTAACCAAATTTTTAGCATCCCATGACTTTCCAGGTAATACAAGTGTTCCATCATTTGTTTTATTTTAATGCAGGACAAACTTATTCCATCTTCTCTAATTAAACAGTTCCATTATTTTTCTTAGAATATTTGGGCAATACAGGGATGTAATATAAAATAACATGTTTAAAAATTGAAGTTGAGAGGCAAAAGAAATTACAAAGAAATCTCTGGATATATCTTACCAACTAATGGCTGACATTTCTCCTTTAATTTGAAGTCCAACCAGTTTTTCAAAGGGTAATGATAACAGAACTTGAAATTTTTAATATCTCAGTCTTCAATAAAACAAAAGGCTTAGATAAACTAACCTGCTTTGTTTTGGCACTAAATGGTGAATGTGTTTTAGTAACAATATTTAAAAGTGTAACTAACCTTGGGGAAATGATCCCTGGGACATTGTAAAGGACTACTGTTAATTGAACAACATTTTACCCCAAAGGGAGACTATGGATTGCCTTTTAGAATTGACTATGATTTCTGTAAATTATGACTACATTTCAACATACACTTCAGAATAATGCTTCTTTTGTTATGGGACTCTTGGGTATTACAAATATTGCTGTATTAAGACTATGTGAAGAATATATTTTAGTTTTTCCTGTAATATTTTCACATTTATTATGAGAAAAAATCAAATTCAATATTTATATAAATTTATAGCCCACACTTAGAACACGACCTTTAAATTTTATTTTAAATACCAAATAAACTCATCCAAAAATGGTATGTAAGATAATATTTAAACATGAAATGTATATAACATTTTTTCACTTGAGCATTTAAAACTGGGGATATATATTTTGATTATATGACTGTTCTGTATGAACTCAGAAGTTACATTTAAAAGTGAAATAATGTATAAGAATAAAAATAGAAGCTAAAATGTCTCTTTTAAGGTAGGATTAAAATACCACATACACATTTGAGATTTTTTTTCATATAGATTAAGAAATTAATGAAAAGTTTACAATAAGAATTATTCATTAGAAAATTCTAAGGGTAACAAAAAATAGTCATAAACATGCTCAGTCAAACATTTACCACAATGCTCCAGCACATGGCTAATAATAAGCATCAGGTGTATGTTCCCTGATAATTCAGTTCCACTCTATTACAAGAGAATTTTGTATTTCCAAAACAGATGGGTATCCTAGCTAAGTACCAGCTTTTTGAAGTTTTTAGTAATAAACATATTATAAATTCTTGATGACACAAGTAAGATTTATAGATTAAAGTAATATTCCAAATGTCACTTCAAATAAATGTCCATTTATTTTGTCCATTTTTTTCAGTGCTAGAAATGAAACACAGGGTTCTGTGAGTGTTAAGCTAGCACTCAAATACTGAACTACAATGCCAGCACTATTTACTTTATGAGAATTTAATGAACTAAAAAATACTTACCTTGCCACTTAATAGATAAAGACATAGAGTTTTAGTCAGAGCCCAGGATATTCCTGAGATAAACAAAGCATTTATTTTGGCGCATGGCTTCAGTCCAGGGCCACTTAGCTATGTTGTTTCTGGGTATGTAGTAAAGCAGAATGCCATGGCTGGGATCACATGGCTTATTATAAGGATTTCCCAAAGTTATCAAGTCCTGATTCCTCTTTGTTTAAGTTATTGGCTCAACTCTCTCTCTCTCTCTCTCTCTCTCTCTCTCTCTCTCTCTCTCTCTCTCTCTCTCTCTCTCTCTCTCTCTCTCTCTCTCACACACACACACACACACACACACACACACACACACACACACAGACACAAGCACTTTTTGTATAAGTTTCATCATTTTGCTAGGAAATTTCCTCAGTTAGCTACCCAAGTCCATTTACAAGCTCTGTTTCCAGACCGATTTAGTTTTCTTTTTGTTGTTATTATAAAACACCAAAGACCTTGGAGAGAAAAGGGTTTACTTGGCTTACACTGCCAGTTCAGAATCTATCAAAAGCAAAAGTCTATGTAGGAACGTGAGGCAAGAACCTGAAGACAGGAAGCCATAGACAGGAACCTGAAGAAATGGTGTTTGCTGGCTTAGTTTCTGGCTCACCCATAGGCTCGTGCTTAGTATTTTTATACAGAAGAGGACCACCTGCCCAGGAAATATTGCTACCTCACAGTGGTCTTGGCTTCAGAGATGTATAAAATAAATGCATATAAAAAACTTACACAGTCTTTGGTGAAATTATTAAGGCCACTCCACGTAGTTAAAAGGAGATTTATTTAATGGCGTAACTTACAAGTTAAGGGATAGGTAGGTCGCGGGGTCTGGGGAAGGTGTATGGCAGTCCAGCAGTGTTCTCTGGAGCTCTGCTTGGCCCACCTTCACCGTCCAAGGTCCCGAACCGAGTGAGTGCGCCACCCATCCTGATCTCAGGTCTCCAGGCACCTCCGTTGGCCCCGCCTTGTAGGCGTGACAGTTGCCGAAGTCTCAATGGGGGTTGGAACTTCCAGATCAAAGCTGGAATGGCTACCCACTACATAGTCAGATGTAGTAACACATGCCTTTAATCCCAGTAACTGGGAGGCACTGTGAGACTGAAGCCAGCCAAGTCTACAGAGTTCCAGGACAGTAAGAGCTACACAGTGAAACCCTATGTTTGAAAAAAAAAAATTAGAATGTCCAGTGCTCTGGGTTTGAACATTATCATTGCAAAGAACACATAGATAAGATAAAGAGCAAGAAATTTGACAGTCTTTTACATTACTAAAATGCTAATGCAAAATGAAGGAAATTAATATTGTTTTATAGTTTTGCAGTTACTGCTATCAATAGGTAAAGTGATACAAGTAATAGATGAGATAATACATAGATAAATTTCTTGTTTCTGGGTCCACATAAGTGAAATTAGAATTTTAATATATATTTTTATTTTTTAAAATTCATATAAGAATACCTTTAATAACATAATTTCTACCTCTCTTGCTTTTGTTGTTGATTTCTCCATTCCTACTCCATAATTCCTTTTCAGATTCATGACAATTTCTTGAAACCTACTGAGTCCATATAGTGTTGCTTGTTGTACTCATATGCATCCAACACTGTCCATTTGTTACAGGCTAACCTATCAACCTATAACCTATTCCCCAGGATCATGTGGGGAAAACGATTCTCTCTCTCTCTGAGCAGATACTATCTTACAGATCTTCATTCAGGGGCCTTGTAAAATTGCTCTCTCATTCCTGTTGGCATGTCAGTTGGTGTTGTTATTATGCAGGTCTTATTTAGGCAACTATATTGTTGAGATTTCATGGGTACATCATGCCTTTTGTGTCTCATAGACAATATCTAGCAGTGGCTATCCTGGACCTCTGGCCCCTACAATCTTTCTACCCATTTTTCTGCAATAGTCCCTGAACCTTAGGTATAGGGGTTGTGTTACAGATGAACTAATTGGGGTTGGGCACTCCATGGTAACTTACTCTGTATTTTGACCAGTTGTGAATCTCTGCAGTAATCTCTGTCTGCTGCAAAATGAAGCTTCTTCAATGAGGGATAAGGCCTACTCTCACCTGTGGGTATAATAAGTGTTTAGAATATAGTTAGAAGTTATACTGATTTAAGAAAATTTTAGTAGTAGTTTCTTCTCTAGGGTACATGACCTCTACAGCAATAGATACTTACATAGGTTTACAATATCAGTTGTTGTGGGATAGTCTTTTTGTACACTGTGAAGATATGTCTTTGCCAAGGCACCTTCTGATTGGTTTAATAAAGAGCTGAATGGTCAATAGCTAGTCAGGAGAGAACAGGTGGGCCTTCCAGGGACAGAATGGAACTGGAGATGAATCTAGATGAGGCATGACACTCACAGAGACTGAAGCAGCAAACACAGGGCCAACACAGCTCCTCTGCATATATATTATAGCTTTCAGTTTAGTATTTTTATAGGACTCTGAGTGTGTTAATGAGTGAGTCTCTGATTCTTGTGCCTGTTCTTGGTATTCTTTTCCTTCTGCTATTTTGTCTTGTCCAGCTTCAATGTGATGGGTTTTTATTGTATTATATTTTATTTTGGTATGTTTTGTTGTTATGTCATAAAAGCTTGTTTTTTTCTAATGAGATACAGAAAGGGAGTGGGTCCAGATTGAAGGAGAGGTGGGGAGGAACTGGGAGGAGCAAAGGCAGGGGAAACTGTAATCAGGATATATGTATGAGAGAAATATCTAATTTTGATAAAAGGAGAAAATAAATAAAAACTTTAAAACAAAAAAGTAATAGAAATTATATACTGCAAATGGAGAGAATAAGAGCCACATCCAGTATAGGCAGATGTGATCCAATTATAATTACCTGAAGTTGTGGAAAGCTCAGAGAGATAGAAATCTGATAGGGAAATGCCAATTTGAGTATCTCTTTGAGTGTGGATACACTCTTTCTAATTTCTTG